TAATAAGATAAATCTAACAAACTAAATTTTATTTTCTTGTAATTATTTTTTTAAAGATACGGTAATGCTTAATTTTATTATAAAAATTCAAATCCAGTAAATTAATACATGGAAATCCTGAAAACTGGATACATATAGTAGAAAAAATAAAATGAACTGTCTAAAATATCCTTGCAAGTTAAAAACTTACTAACCTCAAACTAACTGATTATTCTACTATATTTCAGAGACAATCATAAATAGAGTTTTTATCAATACATGATAATTAGATTATTACTACACCCTTTTCTTTTATCTAATAATAATTCTTATCCTAAATTTAATTTCAATACAAAAATAAGTAACTTGAACTATTGTTAAACTAAAAAAAAAATTAATAAAAAATTTGACTCCAACAAGTTCTTAGCTAAATTACCTGATTAATTTCTGGTTATAGCGACCTTTCATAACAAAAGCACTTATAATCACTAAGTTTTATCAGAAGCTTTTTAGTATTCTTAAACTTCTATACTAATATATCTGTCTATTCAGATTACAGCCACTGGCAATCATTGCAAAGAGCTTAAATTGCACAGTTGTGAAAATTAAAAAATCTTACTAAGATTAGCAGGCTCATAATATCAAAGATCTAAAAAGAGTGTACTTGTTTAGGAAGATAAAGGAAAAATCATCATGTGCAATTGGTTGATTTAAATTGTTATTAATCCTGATTGTCATTTGGGATACTCCCTAATACTTACTTTTGTAGACAAAAAAAAAAGCAGAAAAAGCAGAAAAATAGTTATAAGAAGTGATGAAAAAAATATTTTAACAAAAAACATCACCGTTTGAACTGACAAATCTGTTTTTTTAGAATAAAAGGGTTTAGGGAGAACAAAGAAAGGAAGAAATTTAAAAAGGGAGTTTTATTTTTTTTTTTATAGGCTAGGTTTGACTATTTTTGAACATATACATTTTTTACATAAAAATTTTTAGTAGAGTAATTGCCAAAAAAAGTTATATATAAATCTAATAAATTATTATTTTCTTTTAATTATTAGATAATAAGGTATTTTAAAAAATTAAAAATTTAATATATATTAATAATTATTAATTTAAAAATTTAAAAATACTATCATTAGATAGATCTTAATATAACAAATTTAATAAACTTTATTTTATCTTTTTATAATCATTAGATATTAAAATATTGTAATTTTTCTATAATATTTTATAATCAATTTATACTTATACTTTAAGGGATAACTTGATAATTAAAAAGATATAGAATATATAATAACATGATTAATAAAAGATCACAAAAAGTTAAAACAGTAAATAGATAATAATATACTTATAATAGTATAATACAAATAGGCAATAGTCTTATAAGCTATTATTAACTTAGTGGTTAAGATTTAGAATATTCATATATTTTATACTTTTGATTAAGGTAACTAATAATATTATCAATTAGTCTTGAAGTTTGAATCTTTATAATCTAATCTTTATTATTATCTAATTTATATTTAAATATAAATTTTTAAATCTATTGAATGATTTTTATATTCACTCTAATTATATATTAATTGCAAAATTTTGAATCTCCTTTAAAAATTTAATAAATTAGTTTTTTTCTTATTGAAAAGTTTATTAAATACCTTTTTTTAATACTGATATTATCTAAAATATCTGATATAAAATTTTTTATATCAATTATATTAATATAATCTTCTTTATCTTTTTTTATTTAATATATTTGAAATTTATATTTTAAAATTTTAGCATTTTTTATTATTTTTTTTTTTTTAACTTATTCTTTAAAAAAAACTTCTTTGAATAAATAAAAATTGTAATATAGTTGAGATTATCTATCAATTTAGACAACTGGTAAATTAAACATAGTTTCAAATGTTTTATCAGAAAGATAAAATTATGAAATATTTTCAGAAATTTTATATAATATTTAATAGATTTTTAAGTTTAATAATATTTTAATAAATTACGCTATATTTTTTATAAGATATATATATTATTTTTAATATTATTATCATTTTTATTATTTGTTTAATATTACTCTTTTTAAGAATTTGTATTTTTACAAAAAAATATTAGTAACTTTATGAATCAATATAATTTTGATTTTGATTTTTTGATTTTTGTAAAAAAGTGATTAAAATTCATTTTTTACTTTAATAAAGAATGAATTTAATATTAGAATTAATAATATTTTTTTTTCATTTTTCATTTTTCCTTATAAAAAATGATCAAAATAAAAAAACTATCAAATTTTGAATTAAAAAAGATTATGAGGCCGATTAATTTAGAATAAATTCCGCTTTTTCAGTTGTCCATAATTACGTAGTAATTTAGTTAAGGAGTATTATAGCAAATATAATAAAACACTTATCCTGATAAATATTATTTAATCAAGTATAACTACTAAATTAATATTCTATATTTTGGCAAACTTGCCTGGGAAATCACCCAAGTGGTTATAATCGTTATAACTTTTTTTCAAACAAAAAAAAACCATTTCTAAAATGGGAAAAACGGCAAATTTAATTAAAGATTTTTTTTCTTCTTCTCATTATGCTGTGGTGGGTGCTTCTTCTGTACCATCAAAATACGGAAATAAAGTTTTAAAATGGTATGTTGGAAATTAAACTTTAATTTGATTCACAAAAAATAAAAAACCAAAATTTTTTTTTTTTTTTTTTAAAAAAAATATTAGGTATATAGCTAATAATCGCCCTGTCACTCCAATTAATCCCGTATGATAGTTTTCCACATGTAACTTAACGATTCATTTCATTTTTTTTTTTTCTAATTTTTTTTTTAATTATAATAGAATGAAACGTCAATTGAAGGTTTACAATGTGTTCCGAACCTTTATTCATTAATCTCAAATCTTAATCATACTGATGTTTCCGTCTCAGTTTTAACTTCTCCAAAAATTACTAAGGCTATTCTTGAGGAAGCTAATAAGGTAATATAAATTTTTTCATAAATTATTTCTTTATAACTTTTTTGAGTAATATTCTTTTTACTCTCTTTAGTTGGGAATTAAAAAAATTTGGCTACAACCAGGAGCTGAAGACACAGAATGTCAAGATTATGCCAATCAAGTGGGAATAAACTTAATTTCTAATGGTCCTTGCGTTTTAGTTGATGGTCCAAAATTATAATTGAAAAATACAATAATAAAAATGCTAAACTTTTAATAGAGAATTCCATTTACAACTTGAAACATTTTATTAATATCTTAAACATTACAAATCGGTAAAGCAAGGAAATCCGAGAACTTTATCTCGGGCCACTGTCAATCCTCGATTTACTTGTATATCCTTTAATACTGTTGATACATCTGCCCAAAACATAACTCCTCCAGCAAGACCTTCCCATAAACTCCAAGGCCTATCTGGAACTTTGACATGTCGCTTTTTGGTTTCTTCTTCCCATTGACTCGCATAAATTCCAAATGCGAGTGCTCTTTGTAAATGCTCCTCATTTTTATTAACAAGATAGAGAAGAAGAAATGAATAAGCGTTTCCAAGAGCATTATGACAAAGACCTGTAAGACCTTTTTTCAAAATTCCACGTTCCCATATCAAATCGGATGATTTGACAGCTGCGGATAATAAAGTCGAAGAAGTTGCATGTGTTGGATATAACTCGTATATCTTCAAAAATGCCGGAACCATTCCCGGAGCTCCATGACATACTCTATTGAATTTTTAAATTGTTTCATTCACCAATTATGAATCATATTTCTAATGGCTTTTATAATTCACAGTGTACTCACTGAACCAGATCATCATGGGTTGATTGTAAACTCAGTGGATAATTTCCATTTTTGAATGCAAGTTTAACTAGCCATTCCATAGTTTGAAATAAATCATCCAAATATGGCTCGGCAAGATTTTTAAATTGTAACAAAATAGCAACAATACCGGCTTTTTTCCTCGTTAGTCGTTAGTGTGAACATATAATTAAGCTAAATACAACACATTTGATTAAAAGAAACTCACCAACTCCATGCACGGCTCCAAGATATTCCTTGCCATGCCAGCTCCACAATAACGGTGGTCTCTCAACATTTTTCTCCTCATCATAAATTACCTCATCATCATCAGAATCTAATCCACCTTTTCGACCTTCTACAATAATTAATTCAAAAATTTCTTTAACTGTATCGTCTGTTAATCTTTGCATGATATTTGCATTATCAAAGCAATGCTTTTGTATGAACTTTAACGCGTAAAGGTATCCAACTCTTCCATATAGCAATTCGTTAGATTCCTCTTTTACTGCCAAAGGGTGATACGTTTTGAGAATTAAATTCAAATATTTTAAAGCTTCGTCAGAGTTATTCTCTATGATATGATAAACCACTACGGCTAAAGCTAGAGGTCCAACATGACTTCCCAAAAATCCGACATGTTTTTCCTTAGTTTTCTTCACCGCAGATAATGCGGCTGAAAGATATGTCGTGCACAAAAGGCCAACTTTATCGCCTGCAATAGTCAGATTGGGGTCAATTTGATGTAAATGGAAGTATGTAAAAGCTATACCAGCGTAACCTAATTTTAAAAGAAATAAATTAATCTTAAATCAAAAATGGAATTGGTATTTTTTTGTTTTGTTTTTTTTTTTTTTTGGTGGTCAAATTACCACAAAATACATCATAGTCTCGAGAATAGTGTGATACTGTATAGTTGAAAAGAATCTTTTCAGTGTTGAGCTTTATAAAATGATCAAGTCTTTTGGGATCGAAATCGTTGATACTTGGAAGTTCCAACGTGTTTTTAAGATAACGTTCAGTCATTGAAAATAGAAAAAATGAATCAACTGTGTTGGACGTTGTGATACCGAACCTACTTTAAAATAAATACAAATTTTATAGTCAAAAAAAATTTTTTTATTGAAAATTAAGTACACATTTAGGAAAAAATAAGAAAAATATATTTTTTTGAGGTAAGCCAGTACTTTGTATCCATATCCATTTTAAAAACCAGACTATGAATTTAGAATTATTTATAAGGAACAAATTGTTCACCATTGGCTTACATGAAGAGGTAATTTCATGCATTTTTTAACAAGAATTAATCTAAATATCGAAATTAATCAAAAATTTTCATTTCATTAGACATTTGGCGAATATATTGCGGGAATTATTACCGATGATTCACTAGAAGAGTCGGAAAAGCGAGAAGCCATTTCCGAATTTATATCGGGTGCAACAGTGAGATATCTAATGAATTCTTTCAAATTCGATTGAATAATATAAGTCATTATTACTTATTTCCAACTTTCATTGAGGACAACCCATCAGAATCAATAATAGACGATATATTTAAAACATGGTCCGAATTTGAAAAAGAACAACAAGAAACTAAAGAAGCTGAAGAGAAACTTAAGCAAGAGAAAGAAACAAAGGGTATTTATATAAATTTTTCTTTTTTTTTTTTTGTATATATTTCTCTGAAACTTTCTTAAGACATTAAACGATTTATAAATAAAAGAAGCTGCTGCTCTACAACAAAATTTTGAAAATGCTTCAACTTCTATCGAACCCGCTACAATATCGCTTCGTAATCCAAAAAAACAACTTACGAAAGAAGAACGCAAAAGACGCGAACAACTGCTCGCGAGATATAGTTATGAATTGGATGAAGTTGTAGAAAATGAAGATGGAGAGGCAGAAATCCAATATAAAGACAGAAGTGCAATTAAAGAGATTAGCGAAGGTAGATATTCATTCATTTATATTATATTGTTAAATTAATTATCTCAATCAATAATTCTATTCAAAATACATAAAGATTTGTTACAAGCCAATCGCAATACAGAACAAGTAAAACAAAAAGAGCAATTTCGAAGGGAGCAAATGAGAAAGCAACATGAGGAAGAAAAAGAAAGAAATCGTAAATTATTAGAAAAACAACAACATGATAAAGAAAAAGCAAAAAGGAAGACAATGAAAAGAGAAAAAAGAAGTTGGTAGACATATTAATTCAACTTCTAGCACGATGATCACCATAATATTTGCTTGATAAAATAGATATTGCCACTAATTGCAAGTCGCTTAGCCTTACAATTTCTTTCCTCAATAATAAAGAGTCGCATTTTTGATCTTCTTCCCTCTCTATAATAAATCTATCGTTTCCAAGAGATTTCCAGATTGTAGAATTGCGCAACAAATCCGAAAAACTTTGATATCCGATCGACTTAATATCAACATTCTCTTTATACAAATCTTTATACAATAATTCAAAACAGCATGAATTTAAAATGGTTTTATTGGGAAATAAATGTCGCGTTTTCCATAGGATTTGTTCGGCCTTTTGTTCTTGCTTTTTCAATAACTTGTTTTCTTCAATCTTTCGTGTATCGTGACCGAATCTGATATCATAAAAACCCTTATCATAACTGTTTGATTTCATTTCCTTTGTAACAAAGGTCATATAAAAAGGTTCATCTTGAAGTGTATTTGGAGAGAGCAAAGAAATCCATTCCGACTTATTATGTGGACAAGTTGTAATATTGAAACTTTTAGGCCAAATTTCGCGTATGAATTCAGATAAAGTTGTGTCTGATGATCTCGCGAAATTATCCCAATTAAATTCACTGTAATAGATATGATATAGATCCAATATTTGATCAACATTTATATATGAAACCTTTTCATATACCAAAACTTTTAAATAATGAAAATAATGAAAGATTATAATGTTTGTAACACTAGAAATAGTCCTGATGATAACTAATCAACTTACATATGTTTCTTATTCGCCTTTCGATTTTCGCAAGTTCTTCATAATCTCCTTGTGAGTAGAAATCTGAAAGTTCATCATCAGATAACAATTCTACTTCTTGTTCTCTTCCTTTGCCAATATAATATCGACTAAGGTCCATTGTAAACATATTTATTGGGGCAAATTTTTTTTTTAGTCAAAAATTATACGTGTTACTTTTCCTAAATAGGCTCGCTGTCCATTAACTCTTATGATGATTTGGCCTTCAACCATGTGAATACGTCAATAAATTTGTTTCAAATATTTATTATGCAATCCCGCTTTTATCTAACTCATTTTGTTATGTAATTTTAAATTCCACAAATTTTTAAATTAAATATATCTATTTTCGAAATTGGTTACTCAAGTTACCAGTTCGTTGTTGCAATCTTGAGTGGTTGCGATAGTTTTATCATTTCATTTTAAGTGCTTGCTTACAAAATATGCAGTCAGTGTATAAGTTAGTTTCTACCGTAAATCAGTTTTATAGGGAAATCAACCCTTCAACGCTTTCTGGTGCCATTGACGTAATTGTCGTTGAGCAGCCTAATGGAGAACTAGCATGTTCACCTTTTCATGTTCGATTTGGGAAACTATTGGTTTTAAGACCTCAAGAAAAGAAGGTATGTAAACTTATTATTAATATCTGTTTACATTTGATATATATATATCTAATTTCTTTGATATAGGTTGAAATTACTGTCAATGGAAAAGTTGTTGATTTCCCAATGAAAATTGGAGAAGCCGGTGAAGCTTTTTTCGTGTTCGAAACAGAAAACCGTGTCCCAAAAGAATTGCAAACTTCCCCATTAGCAGGTCCCAGTGATCCTTTACCGACAGAAGAGGTAAAAATCAATTTAATCAAATATTTGTTCAATCTGATTAAATTAATCAAAAATTACATATGATGTTTAATTTAAATATGATAGGAACCTGATTTCTTGGATTTAAACACAGATAATTCTAAAGATAGTACGTCCTTAGCGAAAATATCATTAAAATTTCGGTTTCTTTGTAGATCATAGTATTCCTTTTAATTTTTTTTTTCCTTTTTTTAGTTCTTCAAAATAGAGTTGAGCAAAATAATACGATCGGTAAAGTGTGCAAATTATTTAGGCGTTGATTTCGAAATCAAAGCTAATCCTATTATTTATTGTAATAGATTTTGGAACTGATGATGGATATGAAGGAGATTCTGAGCCAAAAATATTAGTTGCTGAACCTAAAAATATTCATGAGATGAATTCTGAGTTACCTTCAGTAATAACAGATTTAGTCATTCCGATGTCTGAAGAAGAAACTATAACAGATGAAAAAGCAATTTTAATATCAAATTATGAGAAATCAAATAAGACAATGTTAAATGGTGATAACGTTCATGAAGCAGACGAAAAGCTTGCACCTGGCAATCAAGATATAAAATTGGAATCAAATTGCACGTCGGATTCAATATCATTAATTGATGATGTTACTGAATATAAGCCAGAATCGTTGGAAAAGTTGTATTTCAAGTCTGGTATATGTCACATTCTTTATTAAAATTTGTGGATTACTACTTATATAACTATCCATATCTAATACTAGCTTGCATGGTGTGTCTTTAGATGCTAAGCAAGCGATTGATGAGGATGCAAATCTATCGAACGAAGTAGATGGTGTGGTTAGTGGACTTGAACCTGAATTATTAAATGGTTCTGCTGATAATCTTGTAATACAAAATAATGTTGAGTCTGATTTAGGTAAATAGTACTTTTTGGATAACATATATATATATCTTTATTTTTTTTTCATCATCAATTGTAACAATAAATAGAACTATAATAATAATGCAGTTAATTCGTCGAAAAATCGACTGCTTTACGTGCAAAAGCTCAACTTAGTGACGTGATAAAAACGCAACAGACCGAAGAAAGTAACAATATACCACGATTAGAAACAGAAGCTTCGAGGCAGAATCGAGAAAGGGCTTTATCAATACCTTCCGTTCATCCAAAATGTTCGTTCATCGATGTTTTTTTTTTTTACATTATAAGCTGTGTCGCAATGATTGGAAGAAAAAATTCTTATCAATGTATATATTTTACATTTAGGGGAAAAATCCGAAGGTCCGTTTTCTGATACAGAATTGGAAGAAACACGAAAACCAGAAAAACCTTTAGAAAGACGACCAAGTAGAACCAGTCCTTTGAGCGATACAGAATTGGAATATGGGCCCCAAAAGCCTTCAAAAGATTCAGAAGAGTGGTCATGGGTATGGGGAGCGTTGCCTGTGAGAACATCGGAAAAAATCACGCATTGGCAAAATGGCACAGTTGATAAAGATTGGAAAGATGATAATACAATCGAAAAGCCATCAGGTATAGAGATTGGAGGAAAGGTTCATCATTTTGAAATGTCATTATGTGGAAGCGAAGCTTTTGGAAGGGATGAGGTAGTTAAAAACGGGTTGTAAATTATTATTATTATTTTTATTTTTATTTTTCCATTATTAATATTGTATTTTTTTTATTATGAATAAAAAGCAAATTGATGATGAAATGTTTCGCAAGAATCAAATTACATACGAATATTTCTCGGAAAATCCGCGGCTTTTGAATGACAAATCATTAGTTTTTAAATATGACGACAGGTATTGTTCATATCGTTAATGTTTAATGTTTATATTTAAAACTTGAATAGTTTATTAAGTATTTTTGGTTTTATTTAACAAGATATTACTCGTGGCCGACCGCTGCGCCCATAATAGTTTCCTTACTCGTATTTCAAAAGCCTCTCCCAGATTCTACAATGACTAATTTATCTAGTAATAGACTTGAGGAATTAAGGTCATCAGATCAGCGTAGATATAGCCTAAGGGGATGGAGTCGATGGTGGAGTCGTTCATCGAGTCCGCTTCCAATAGAAGCATCAGAAAAGATTGATAAGGAACCAAAAGATAATGTTGAAAAGGTTAATAAACATAAGAATTTTATTTGTCATTAGAAGCACAAATGTACTATACACATTATATTAACCTATACATTTCATCGATTTTTTCTTTTATGTAGGAAAATGAGAAACCGACAAAGTTTTATGCGAAAACGCTACGTCTTACTTCCGAACAATTGGTAACTTATAGCTTTCAACTTTTGAAAAAATCCCTGCACAAAAGTATTAATACAATTAACCTCTCATTCACAGAAAAGTCTCAACTTAAAGAAGGGAGCAAACACAATAACCTTTTCCGTCCCTTCTTCCTATCAAGGAAAAGCTACATGCGTAGCCAAAATATTCTTCTGGGATTGTGACACAAAGATCGTAATTTCCGACATCGATGGAACAATTACAAAGTTAGTTTATAAGTTATTATACTATCTTTTTTTTTTTTCGCCTTTAAGTATTGTAATCTTTTATTTATTTTAGGTCGGATGCTCTTGGACATGTGTTTACAATGATCGGGAAAGACTGGACACATTCAGGTGTTGCCAAATTATACACGGATATTCGAAAGAATGGTTATCAAATTTTATATCTGACGAGTAGAGCTATTGGACAGGTAATACCTAGCTTTATAAACGATAATATTTGAAAAGTTTACTTAATAATTGTACTTACTTTAGGCCGGATATACCAGAGATTACTTAAAGAAAGTTGAACAAGACAAATATCAATTGCCTGACGGACCTGTTATTATGTCACCTGATCGCTTATTGACCGCCTTTCATAGGTATAGTAACTTTCGATTGTTTTGAATAATTGCGTTGTTAATTTTAATAAAAAAATTTTATCTGAAATTTAGAGAAGTAATTATGCGCAAACCTGAAGTTTTCAAAATGGCTTGTTTACGAGATGTACAAAAATTGTTTTGCGATAGAAATCCATTTTTTGCAGGATTTGGAAATAGGATAACGGTATATATTAATATAAAATTAATAAAAAACTTGTAAATTTTTTTTTAATGAATATTAATGAAATATGCCGTATACAGGATGCTTTATCTTATCGAAGTGTTAATGTACCATCATCAAGGATATTTACAATTGACACAAATGGCGAAGTGAAGCTGCAATTATTGTCAGGATATAAATCATCGTCAGTATTATTAATTTACTTTTTAATATGTATTACTTCATAATTATAACTGAATCTTATTCGATGTTTAACAGATATGTGGATCTAAGTGATCTAGTGGATCAAATGTTTCCTCACATTACATGGGATACAGTTTATAATGATTGGAATTATTGGAAGCCACCTTTGCCGGAAATTGAAATTCCCACAGAAATATATGAAAATCAACCAATACCATCATCACCAAAGAGTTCAGTTGCTATAATTGGATCACCTCGTTTAGGAATGATTCGAACTTTGACCGGAACTATAACTGGAAGCAACAATATGAATCAACAGAAGAAAACAGTTCAGTCAACACCAGGCATGTTAGAATCATCAGGAAATCCTACATCAGATAAAATAAATGAGAATGATCTCATAATAGCAAATAGTAGAATCGTATATGTTGGAGGAGATGTTGATATGCCAGGTAGAATGGACATTTATGAAAATGAAGAAGGTAGAAGTATGGTAGGGTATGATGACGACATAGATGATTATGATGATGGAGATTATGATGATGGAGATGATGAAGGGGGATCTGACGACGAATATGTAACTGATGAAAATGAAGAGGAGAGTGATTTTGAAGAATGTATACCGGCTGACATTGATTTAAGTGATATACCTTATTAAAGGATTTTATCTTTAATGTTCTTGTAAAATCATTTTGTATATTAAGCAATGTTCATAAAACACGTACTTTATTCATTAAATTATTATATGAAAACCTTTTGCTTATATTTAATAAAATAATTTTGAACAACTATATAGTAATAAAAAGATTTCATTTATGCCAAATAAATGTATTAATGTATGTATAATCTAATTTTTTTATTTTATTTTTTTTTCACGACTTACTACTCTTTTTTTCGTTGTTTAACTTTCTCTTCATGTTGTGCGTAAATCATCGAAGTGAATGGTCTAAAAAAAGAAATTGAAATGAGTAAAGTAGAATATATTTATACAATAAATTCATAAAACACATACCCTTCATATTTTAGTGCAATTAAGTAAAGTACAAAAGCCCAGATAGTCAAAAGCATCCCGGCAGGACTAGCATACCATAAAGCAGTAGATAAAAATACCATTGAAGAGCCATAGTACATGGGATTTTCAAGAACATTAAAAGGAAAAGATGTAACTCTTTCACTCATTAAAATTCCAAAATAATCACCTAATGATTTTTCATATACACATCAAAAAAATATTAGTTTACTCCCATTATTAAAATAAATAAAGGTTTGACACGTACCAAGATAGGTTCCCGTAACACCTAACACGTACATTGATGATAATACAAAAATATTTCCAGTAAAGAATAAGACCAAAGCTAACCCTTTTGAATAATCATTATTTAAAGAAGGAAAGGTTGGTTGATCTTCGATTGCTTTTTTGTATCTTAATTTTTTTCAAATTTGGGAGATAAAAAAAAAAAAATTTTTGAATTAAATCGGATGAATAGTATGTAGAAAAATAAATGACTTACAAGAAATCCCTAAAAATTCCAAGAGAAAAAATCATTAATGCTAAACAATAACAACCAACATAAGGATTTCCACCAACGAAACGAGATATTACTCTCGTTTTATGTTCTACAATTGTTTAAAAGGTTCGATTATTATTAAGTTTACTTGATTTATTAATAAAAAGGGTAATAAATATATACCTTTTCTCGCGGCAATATTCCAAAAGAGTGGATTAAAAGTTATGGAAGCGAAAGAAATCCAAAAAGATGTTTGAGAAAAATCGATATGGTCCAGAATTTCTTGATACATTTTTAAATAAAGAGGAAACGGTAAAAAAAAAAAAACAAAAATTCATATATCGAAAGGAAAGGCGCGTTTTAATAAAAAAAAATTATTTTTTTTTTTTTTTGGTACCCCCCAACCATGTGAGATCATAATTACCAGATTATCTACAATTTTTGGTGATCTTATCTAAGATTTACCATATTGAACTGGTATTTTTTGTTGCTCAAATACACAAGATTATCACAATACAAATGCATTTTCTTGTCATATTACTTCATTAGATAAACAATCTTTGCGTCAAAAGACCTCAATTAATCAAAGGTCAAAAATAAATTATAATTTTTTTATAAATAAAAAGGAATAAAGATAATTTCTACATTATGATCGATCAACCTGAAGTACATTAAGCACGATGGGACCAATATCATGTGTATCTACCATCTTCCATAACACTATTTACATTAACCTTCTTCTCTCAAGAAATTGATTCACGCGTTTAAAAGTATTTGTTACCATTAATTACAAATCCCTTCGATTTCATCGTTATTAAATATAAAGCAAGAGTTAACTAAACCATAATAAATATATTTATTTACAAAAGGAGTAAAAAATTATTGCAATGTGGAAATGGAAATTATAACAAAATTAAATTACATACTAATAATGAAAATAAGTATAATTTTTAATGATCAAAGGTATTCATTATTGAGCCTTTTCATAGAACAACATATACGCTTCTTCGTTAAGCACTTGCTTTAACTTGACTTCCTCAACATATTCATCCGAAAGGCGCCACCAAATATCACTATCCTCCTTGCGACGATAAGTAACAAAGTGACCAGATCTATGATCACCTTGATGAACGACGACCGATTTTAACGTGTAAATATTTCCACCTTCACATGGAATGTCACTTCTCCGGCTGCTTGCACCAATACCCGCTAAAATCGGTGACGACATTGGGGACGATAAGATTGGTGATGGTGGTGATGACATTGGTTCGCTAGGCATATTAGCCAAATACCCTCCTGAAATATACTTCATCATGTCAATTGAATCAGAGAATTTGACTTTGCATGGATTCTTTAAAGTCCATCCGCTTTGATAATAAATAGATCGAGAAAAGTGGATGGCAAAAACATCAGGCAATTTTGCAAACATTGTATGTTTGCTAGCCGTGCTTTTAACGTGGGCCAATTTTGTCAGTTGTAATTGACTACTTATGTCCGTATCAACGTCGGTCGCAAGTGCTTTTTTGATAACCTGTCGGTCATCTTCGAGCTTTAACTCATTTTCTTTGTCGTTAGGCGTCCACTTTGCGTTCTCGAGCGCATTTTCAATAGTTGCTAATGTTTCAACCAAACTGCAATGTGGACAGTTATATTCGTCAATAAAATCAGTCCCGGCATATGTTTTTAGGAGAACGTCTAGAGGGACAGATGGTAGTCCTGAAGGCAGTGGAATCGAGATATTATCGAATGTAATGTGCCGAATTGGCCCACAATATCCGCATTTCATACAAGAAACCCGGCAAGCGGTTAATCCGCGAAGAGGATTACGATCACTTACAAAATGCGTGATCTTTTCGTCTTTGGAAGCCAATTTTTTAATTATTTCCAAGTCCAAAAGAGATTTCGGGCGTCTGTCATAATCTTCTTCTGCCCCAAGAGATTGAATCAAGAGTTGAAACAGCTCATGAGCATCTTGTTGTTGCCTATTAATTAAACGTCTTGCATTTGCCTGCAGGGCCAAAACTACGTCAGTCGCAATAAATGACTGTTGTTTCGTTAGAGGTTCATTGAGCCTCTCTAAAGTCGCGTGCAAAGCAAAAGATACCGGTCGCTTGGTATCCGATAGATTACTTTCTACTTTTTTTTCCAGATATTTCCGAAGACCTTTTAATGATGCCAGACTTTGTAGTACAGAATTAAGAAAACAGATATTATTGCCTTGATTTATTAGACCAAAAGTATAAGTTTTTATCTCAATCTCTTTATTGAGGTTATTCTTTTTCTTCCGTTTTGAATCCTTTGTCTTTGGGGTGACAAAAAACGGTGTAATTATTAAGATTGTTGTAACAACTAGTGAAGCGGTAACTAGATTACTTGTTTCCATAGCGACCAACAAACTTAATGACAGTAGTCAGAACAGTGCGATAAATTTCATCATGCAAGTTTTTTGCCTCGAAATTAAGGTTGCATAATTCTAATTCGATTTTCCGAGCGATCGTCCAAAAGTTGAGAATTGATTGGATAAAGGGAATGTACGTGTAAATGTTTTTTATCTGGGGTTGATGACTTAGAACAGATCAGTTTTTCGAATAAATCTCGACCAATTAAAAGTCGAAAAAAATTTTAATTCAATAAAGATTAATATGTACAATTCAATAAATTTTTAGTATCAGCCTAGATCAATTTTAGTATCAGTCTAAATAACATATATTAGGAAATCATCAATAGAAGATATATTTTAAAAGGCACGTGATATCCAATTTGTTAAAAAATTGATGTAAAGCTTGCAATTTGAATCATCCCTATTATCAACATTGTTTTTGCAAGAATAGCATGAAATTCTTTTCATAGATGAGATTCAAATAATTTTATCAAAACATTAAAGAGCCAGGATCAACTTAATTACCATATTGGTATGATGAATAATAATTTCATTTAAGAAGTTAGAATTTGATTAGTAAAATTATCACTTAAAAATTGACTTATGCCTTTTTAAAGGTAACTCTTTTTCCAAAACAAAAAGATTTACCAAACAATTATTTCATTTATATAATTCTTATTTCCTATTGAATTGTTTGTCTGATTCATTTATATTATGATTCTTCCAATATATTCTTTTTTTGGCTGATTATTCGTCTTTTTTGCTTTTATTGTTGCTAGTGTATTTGGTATTATTTGGTTATTATTGATAGGTGAGCATTATGGTAAAAAAGTAAAAACTTCAAACTTGACATAGATTTTATTTGTCAATATATAACTATTAATCTAATGATTTTACATAGCAAATTATCTATCAGAAAATAATACAAAAAACAAATATTCACC